CTAGGAGGTGACAACAATATTTCAGCAACTGGCAGAGGAGTTGTGCATTTGAAGTCGAACATATGTGATGTTATTGTGTTGTACCCATCGAGGTTGCAAAGCAACTTCGTTTCGGTTGCAAAGCCAGTCAACAGTGGATACAATGTAGAATTCAACAAGCAAACGGCAACAATCAAAAATCATAGCGCAAACAGTCAAAAACGCAGAATCGTGGGTCGTGTCAGCTGATTCGACCTATCTTATGGGCGCGCAATGTAAGTGCCCAGTGCAAAACGCTACTCCCTTCTCTCTTTGACGTCGGATGACGTGAGAATCTACAGCATTTTGGTTTTTGCCATCTAAACGTGTCAGCTGATTGCTCTCTCACAACCCAGGATTGCCAATATCTATATACAGTAGTAATTATCAACTTTTATAATTCAATCTGTTCAATATGTTTTAAATTTTCTTAAAATAACTCAAAATTGGAGTCGAATACTATTATTTATAAATATATATACCATTTTTAATAGTTTTCAGTTTTGATATTTTCTATTATAAGAAATTGTAATTGAAAACATAGATGTGTACAAAATTATATATGCATATTGAGCAATGGCAACATTGTGCAAATGAAAACAAACAAAGATGGCTGAATTCTGCGTTTTTGCCACGTTTTTCAMTGGGCACACATTTTGCCGATGAGGATGGAAAAGGGAGGAAGGCAGTAGCGTTTTTGACTGTTCCTGCTATCAGCACGGAGGAATAGTTTTACGTGCAAATAAGGTCAGTAATCTGTTTACTTTAGAGCCAAATCAAAACACATTGTTTTTTGCAAGGAAATCAATCAATGATGCTATGAAGTGGCATTCGCGCTATGGTCATATTAATTTTGCTAGCTTACGATTATTGAACGAGAAGCAAATGGTTCGCGGGATGAAGGTTAGAGTACCACAAGAAATTTGTTGTACTGTGTGCATGTCCAGCAAATGTACGCAGAAACCGTATAGCAGTACAGAAAGGCGATCAGCGGAGATGTTGGGGGTAAGATATTTTCTAACGTTTGTTGATGACAAAACTCGATACGTTTTTGTTTATTTTTTGAAGAGTAAAGACGAAGTCTTCAATAAATTTAAAGAATTTAAAAAGATGGCTGAGTGTCAAAGTGGAAAGAAACTCGAAGTACTACGTAGCGATAATGGTACAGAGTTCCTAAATAATTCGTTTGATAATTTTTTAAAAGAAAATGGTATAATACGGCAACTGACTGTTCCATACACACCTCAGCAAAACGGGCTTTGCAGAAAGGTTCAATCGAACGCTAGTTGAAATGGCGAGGAGTATGTTAATCAGTTCGGGAGTACACGAAACTCTTTGGTCAAAGGCTGTTTACACTGCAGCATATCTACGAAACCGTGCGCCAATAATAGCATTAGACTCGATGACGCCATATGAAGCATGGCATGGTTATAAACCAATGGTAGGACATTTGCGTGTACCAAAAGGAAAAGAGTATATATTGGTAGGATACTCTGATGTATCAAAAGCGTACAGGTTATACGATCGTGAGACGAGACGATTGATAGTAGCAGAGATGTATATTTGGTTGAGTCAATGGGGCGAAACCAACAAACGAATATTCAAACGGCGGTAGGTGTACATGAGTACACACATTTACAAGACAGCGGCAATAGCGATGTTGCAAATTTAAATACTAGTTCAGGCGAAAGCAAAGTACTACAATCAGCACTAGTTAACAGCGATGATGAGTTCGAATCCGCTGAAGAAGAAGAAGTTCCAGTACTACAAAAACAGAGAGAACCTGGTAGACCGAAAATTGTTCGAAGTGGAGGGCCAGGAAGACCAACAAAACAATACAACTATTTAAAAATGATGAAATAGAAGTACCTGAAACGGTAGAACAGGCGTTGACAAGCCAATACGCTAATGAGTGGCACGAAGCTATGAAAAATGAATACCAATCGTTATTAGACAACGATACATGGCAACTTGCGGAATTGCCAAAAGGGCAGAAAGCAGTGCGCAGTAAGTGCGTTTTTGCTTTAAAGAAAGACAAAAACGGTAAAATAGGACGTTTCAAAGCAAGATTAGTTGCTAAGGGCTGTTCACAAACTTATGGTGTAAATTAAAAAGATACATTTTCACCGGTGGTGCGGTGTAGCACAATAAGAATGATTTTTGCGATTGCAGCGGAGGATGGTTTATATCTCCACCAAATAGACGTTTCAACAGCATATTTGAACAGCGAGTTGTGTGGTGAAATTTATATCAGCCACCCAGCTAGGTTTGTAGATAAACGTTATCCAAATCATTGTCTGAAGTTGAAAAAGACATTGTATGGACTTAAGCAGTCTGGGCGGCAATCGAGCATGAAGTTGGACGGTATATTAAAAGGTATTGGATTCCAACCATGTAAAAGCGAACCGTGTGTGTATGTGAAGCACTATGATGGGCACATCAATATTGTAGCAGTATATGTCGCCGATCTGCTTATAGCGTGCTCCGACCACAAACAAATGCAACAAATAACAAGTAAGGAAGGGCTAAGTTCGGGTGTCACCGAACAGTTTATACTCTCGCATGATAGTGAAAGTGATAATCGAGATTTCAGGCGTGGTTGTGAACCGATTTCACCCATATTTGGTACATGTCATCAGGGTGTTAAGAAAATATTATATACCGAACTTCATTGAAATCGGCCGAGTACTTCCTGAGATATGGCTTTTGGTCCATAAGTGGGCGACGCCACTCCCATTTTAAATTAAAAAAAGCCTGGATGCAGCTTCCTTCTGACATTTCTTCCGAAAAATTTAGTGTTTCTGACGTTTTTTGTTAGTCGGTTAACGCACTTTTAGTGATTTTCAACATAACCTTTGTATGGGAGGTGGGCGTGGTTATTATCCGATTTCTTCMATTTTTGAACTGTATATGGAAAGGCTTAAAAGAAACGACTCTATATAGTGTGGTTGACATAGCTATAGTAGTTTTCGAGATATGTACAAAAAAGTTAGTAGGGGGCGGGGCCACTCCTACTTTTCCAAAAAAATTACGTCCAAATATGCCCCTCCCTAATGCGATCCTTTGTGTCAAATTTCATTTTAATATCTTTATTTATGGCTTAGTTATGACACTTTATAGGTTTTCGGTTTCCGCCATTTTGTGGGCATGGCAGTGGGCCGATTTTCCATCTTAGAACTTAACCTTCTTATGGAGCCAAGCAATACGTGTACCAAGTTTCATCATGATATCTCAATTTTTACTCAAGCTACAGCTTGCACGGACGGACGGACAGACGGACAGACATACATCCGGATTTCAACTCTACTCGTCACCCTGATCACTTTGGTATATATAACCCTATATCTGACGCTTTCAGTTCTAGGACTTACAAACAACCGTTATGTGAACAAAACTATAATACTCTCTTTAGCAACTTTGTTGCGAGAGTATAATAAAGAATGCTATTCCGAAAAAAGTTAAAATAGTTGACAAGGGACCAGTACAATATTTTTTGAGTATGGAAATCGATCGCGATGGTGAAACTGGGTCTATATGCGTTGGTCACAAATCATATGTATATACAAAAGATGTTAAGCGAATATAATATGGAAAACTGCCGACCAATCATTACTCCACTATATACGGGACATCAAGTAAATTGTAATGAGAGAAAATGCAAGAAGGCCAAATAGATGCCGTACCAATCATTCATAGGTTCATTGATGTATATAGCAGTATGTACGCTGCCAGATATTTTGCACTCAGTGTGTAAACTTGCGCAACGAAACAATGATCCACATTCAGGACATATGGCTGCGGCTATGAGGATATTGCGTTACCTATGTAATACTCAAGACATGCGATTGCGGTATTATAGCACTGGCAAAGAAATCGAATGCTTTGTCGATGCATATTAGGGTGGCGATAGCAGTGAGCGTAAGTCATATACGGAGTATGCATTCATACTTGCAGGAAGTGTTTTTTCATATGAATCAAAGAAACAATCAACAGTAGCTCTGAGCAGCACCGGGGCCGAATACATGGCCCCTACGTCAGCCGTGAAAGAAGCAGTATTTTTACGAACACTTTTGGGAGAAATGAGAATCGAATGTCCTARGACGATCATGGTAAATGGAGATAACCTCAGTACCATGAATCTTATAAAGAATCCGGTATATCACGCAAGAACCAAACACATCGACATAAAATATCATTATATGAGGGATATTTATCGAGGAGGCGGCATCGATCTCAAATATTGTTGCAGCAGTGACATGATTGCTGATATTTTGACGAAAAACTTATCAAAGCCTAGCCACGAGAAGTTAACAAAGATGCTAGGTTTAAATTAATTAAATGAATTGCATTGCTTTGTAATATGCATGCATATGAACGTTGAGGAGGCGTGTTGAAATGCAATCCTGCATATAACAACGTACATATACATGCAACTCTGATGTATTTAAAATGATATCGTATTGTAACCGAACTTTATTGTATTTATACATTTTCTCACTCTTGTTCTAACCACTGAAGTATAAACAAGTATCTTAATAAAAGAGTTTAACAAAATTTAACAACAATAATATGTCATTAAATTTAATACAATTATATTACTCACGTCGCAAAACACACAAATATATCCTTCTTTTAAAACCTTACTCCCTCCTTAATCTATAATAAAGTTGCTACAGCGCTATGGAAACTTTTTTTTTAAGTTTGACAAAATGACGGCGGTTTGAATGAAAAGTATCGATTTTGGCAGTTTATCGTAGAAAGAAATAGGAAGATTTCATAAAAAATGAAATTAATGACGTTAAAAATCTTCTCTCCAAGAGGAGTCGCTATGTTCTCCACTCTGTTCTCTTTCTACAAGAAACGCTATAGCGACCGTAATTTGAATTTCGTTTTAAAAATTTGATAGAGTGTTTATTAGTATATAAAATCTGATAATGCAACAAAAAATCCATTTCTAGAAAATTTCACACTGAGACGATCCCTTAAGCTTCTAAAGGGTTGTTTACCAACTATTTTTATATAACTATGAGAAAATAAATAGTGACATATTCTAGAAAAGCTTTATCTTTCAAATCACTTAGACTAGTTAAAAGTTAGAATAAATTAACATCCAAATTATCTACTAAGTATTTCTATGATCACCTTCTCCGCCTCCGGTTTTGTGGGACATTCTTATTTGCAAGACTATTTGTACTATTACCCTTTTTGTGGTCCTTTATTTTTCCCAATACTCGTAACATTCGTGCATAAACCAATTTCCTCACGTTCATTGCCCACAGGAAATCCATATGATTGAACTCCTCCATTGGTATCAAGTACTTTCCTTTTGGATTACCCAGGTCCTTATACATTGCCTCGACATCGCTGGGGTGGCAAAGTAAATCGTTACTTGAATAATAGACATAGGTAGGAACTGTTACTAGAGATAGGTTATAACGCGGTGGTATGTGTTCTTTATATAGTGCTAAATTTTTGTTACTACTGTAACTGTAAGGTGCAAAACGTCCATATTTAATGATTTGTATGAAATGTTTTACTTGTTTAGCCGCAACGCCCGCGGGGTAGTGACCCAAAATAACTGGAAACATTTTCTATAAAGAAAAGATTAAGTTTAGCAATGTTAGAAAAAAAAAAAATAACTAAATACTGGTGCAAAATCTATCACATAACAAAATTTTCAGCCTGCCTGATAAGACTAATAAAAATTATAGTATTTTTCGCAGGAACTTTTTCAATACCTCTCACCAAATTTTGGTTTTATTGATTACTAATTTTCCTATTAAAAATTACTATCTCATACCAATAAGTTGTTTTAATAGGAAATATCAATGCAATGTTTAAATATGTAATAACAATATTTAAATGATTATCTGTCTATAGCCACATTTATCGTAGCTTTGATTTTATTCATTACGATAGAAGCTGTAAAAATTGGTTGATAAAAATCAAAACATACCAGAGAATCTTAATCTTCAAATTGATTTTGATCGGCCAGTTTGAGTAACAGATATATGCTATAGTGTTCGATCTGAAGAATTTGTTTGGAAATTGTGATGTTTGATTCAAGCCAAATTTCGATGCATTGTCAAATAAAAAAGTTTTCCATAGAAGAACTTTTATTCAATCGGTTTGTATGGCAGCTCTATGATATTTAAAATTATATTGAATTTACCTCCACGTTCTAAAGTTCTTTATAATTTCGTTCACTTACGTTTGTATTTCAATATGAAAAAGTCTTAAGAAATAATGCTTTTTGTCTTAGAAAGCCTTTCTTATAGTAAGGCATATTACTTACAATCTGATAAGGGTATTTTCATATAATTCAAATTCTTCAATTATATCTAGTTATGAACCTACCCTATTAAATTCGTTCCAGTTTCGTCCCACTATTCCAAATACCGCCTCAATGCACAGTCGCTCTGTTTCCTCAGTCATGCGGCAGAGAAATCGAAACTCTCCATTAAACATTTCCGTAACTGAGCTACCAACCAAACTCTGATTTATTAAATAAAAACAATAATTAATTAATATTAAAAGATGCATGGATGTTGGATATTCTATACTCACGCGAAAATATAAATTAATGGCACGGATATATGGGTGCTCCTCTGTCTCCGAGGCATAAACCGCCGGTGCCATTGCTTGCATCATGATCACTTTTTTATTATACTCTGGGCGTCGCGAACACATTACGAAGAACGCAGTGCAACCCTAAAATATTCCGTTACGAAAACGGGTTTGTTCTTCTGTTATTATATTAATGCTATAGGAATTAATTGTTTAAATCTGGTTACTTGAGAGTGACCCGCATATTGTATTCTTTTGAACCCCGTAGATTTTAATACATAATCGATCATTGCCGGCAGATCGTATATGCCAATCTCATGCCAACTGAAGTCCCAGAACTTTTTACCATCTGGATCAAGCTTTGTATGATTTCGAGAGTAGCGATTACCACGGGCGTTCCCGAGCCATACATCGTATTTATAATCAGCAAGAAGGTAAGCTGCAAATAAAATTAAAGTAATATTTAAGTCAAATTGAAGATATAAACATTAATTGTGGGCTTTAGCTAACTTAAATAACACATATTAGATGTAATATTATCTTCATCAAGGAGATAGGATTACATGATTGGAAACTTTCTTATTAGGGAAATGGGCCTTAGGACAGGCTTTAGACCGATTGTATTTATATTCATTGGTAACCAACACTAATTTTATTCAAAACAGCTTTTATTGTCATTCAAGAATTCACATCGCTTAATACTTATCAAATGAAAAGATTGTCATATAGTATTTTGAGATAAAAGCCGTAATTTTTTAAATATTTTCCATATAATAGAAATAATGGATGCATTTTTTCGTATGTTAAGTCGATTTTCAGGTGAAATTAGATTTATTGCTTTAAAAAAAATGTTTGCTTACATTTTTCCCCTTTGTAGTGTCTAAATCAGCTGTGATAATGTAACAGATTTTCAATGCTGCTAAGTAGATGGCGCAAAACCAGAGTCGAACAGAGCGATTTAGCGTGGATCAGTTTCAAACCATTTCGATGAAGTGATTTTGAACTGTAATTTTTTTATGGCGAAATCTTGATATTAACCACTTAACCACTCAACAGCCGAAATCGAGTGATTAAGTGCCGGTCTGAACATGGTTTTAAACACTTAAATATAAAGTAATTTGTTTTGATAAGGATTAACTTCAAAGTATAAATAAAAGAGCTTTTGCCATCGATATGCATTGATATATATATATTTTTTTGTGATAAAAACACTTATCGTGACAGAACTATAATAGTTAGGCAATATGCTTTCGCGACTTTTTTTCGTTGATAACTATATGATCTGCAAATGTGTAGTACATTTTTTTTTGCTCTATAGTCGCAGCGCGTGCGAATTAAGAAAGATTTTTTGTAATTTTTTCACACCATGGGTTGCATTATTGGAGTTTTAATATGGATCCCTAATTTTTTTGATAATTTAATATAGCCTTTGTTCACCACAGACAGTCGAAGCTGCAAAAGTGAAAGAATTTTTCAAATCGGTCAAGTAGTTTCGGAGTCTATTCAATGCAAACAAACAAATCTTTCCTCTTTATAACATTAGTATAGATTATTTTATAGTATAAGAGAGCTGGGGTAATTCCTGAACCTATTGAACAAAGTTTTTTGCAATAAACTTTAGTATATCCCATATTATAAGAAGTTTCTTGTTTTTGGCCAAATATTAGCGCACAGCCCACAATGCGTAAGCAGGGGCATTACTGTGGTGTAAAAGCTAAAAAGCCACATCTCTCGACCTTCTTTGAGTATTGAAACTCGAGGAGATAATTTTTGTGATAGCAGCTGCTGACGATCAGTTCAATATATTAAAGTTAATGTCTTCAATTAAGCTTATTTTAGATATATCTCATTTGATGATGGTTTAATATGATTTTCGCTTACGTGAGGTAATATTTAATATAACTTAAAACAAGTAAGGAAGGGCTAAGTTCGGGTGTCACCGAACATTTTATACTCTCGCATGATAAAGTGATAATCAAGATTTCAGGCGTGGTTGTGAACCGATTTCACCCAT